CATATACTTTGTATATGTATATATATATATATATATATATATATATAGCATTTTAAAAAAAAAAAAAAAGGGTTACCACAGAGAATAAAACCTAAATAAATGAAATACAAATAAAATGTTTGTATTATTATAGATGCAAAAATGTCTTGTAGATGTGTATTTTATCCTCAAAGTCCAGGGAGAAAACTGGGTCACAGCTTTTTCCGAACTTATAAAAAGAGACATGAGTTTGACAGCAGGGGGTTGCAACTGCTGTGCTGACATGTCCGAGCAAGTTTTATTTTACTGTTGTTTACTAATTGATCATATTTCTAACCTTTGAAAAATAATTTAAAGAACTCTCTTGTGCATGTATAAGCTCCATTTAGCCAGGTGTTTGTTACAGGTGTACTGTACAGCAGCAGGTCCATTCAATGAGAAGACGCACGAGGTGCCGCTGCGATGATTCTGACCAGTGCACGTTTTGTTTTTATGCAGATTAAACATTATTCAGTTCAACGCTCGTCTTCTGGTCATCATTAAACACAATGCAGAGTGAACTATAAGAAAAATAAAAACGAACTGGCAGGTTGATATTATTTGGACTGAGCTGAGTTAATATCCAGTCAGCACAGTTACACAACACGGTTTTCTCTTTGCTGGATTTGAATATCCTCAGGTCTGTCCGGCCCCGAACTCTTCACCTCCAGTTTTTCCTTAGTAGACATTAAGGAAAAGGGATTATTGATTAAATAATCCACCTCGTTTATGCTAATATTGCTCACCATCGCGTCAGTCTACATCAAGCCACGCCCACATCCACTCGCGCTGAGGCACGTTATTGTACGTCCATTCTCATTGGATGAATCCTGTGGCTGTGGGCGGAGCCTGGGCTGAACAAAATTAGCCCCAATGAGCCGCAAACCGAGGGGGCGTGGCCAGACGTCTGTCAATCATTCTGAACCATGACGGAACAGTAACAGGATGGGGCGGTCAGAATTTAGCCGTTTGAAACGACTCTGGGATTGTCCCCAGGCGGTTTGACACCAGTTTTGTTGTAAATGTAACAAAATGTGACATTATTTCTAAAATGTGTTTATTTTTAAGTTGTTGTTTCTAAGTTGTTTATATTAATATCTTTATTGTAAATGCCAGGAGGGAGGGCTTAGCCCTCATAGCCCACTGATACCAGCCGTCACTGACCATTTTCTTTTATTTTGAAAAGAAAGTGTACACCAGTCCTTGACACCACCCCCATTCCTTTAATGTCAAGGATGATGACCCATCTCTGTGGTCTCATCGCCACCAAGAGGCTCCAGGAGGACGCCTCTCCTTCGCCATTGTGAGGGTCCTCGGGGATGTCTCTCACTTGCCATCTCCCAAAAGGGTTTAGCAAGAAGCCCCCATTATGTCAATCTGGACTGTCCCTGGGCCATCCGTCACAACTGTTGCTCCACTCTGTACAGTCTCTGGGCAGCCCGCAAGAACTCTTGCCTCCTATGGAGACAAGTCCAGGGCTGTCCATTTTTGTGTCATGGACTATTTAATTTTTTCACAGGTTTTGTTACTTTCGGGTTTTGGTTTGTTTAGTCTTGTGTTTTTCTTTTCATGATAGTTTTGGTTTTCTTGTTTAATATATTATTTTATTATAGTTGAGAGATCATTTGCATTTGGGTTCTGATCCTACTCCAAACATGATAGTGGTATGCTTGTGGATCTTATTATATGCATACAAACTGTGTTGTATGCTTGTGTGATTACTTTTGAGACTAATTTATCTCCATATTAATCTGAAAACTCCACTGTTTCCAACAAAATATGTGTGTTCAGTTTGACTGGTGTGCCTGGGTCCCCAACACCCCCTGCACAATGAGACTCCCTCCACCATCAGATAAAGATGCTGTCACCATGGAGATGATCATGGCCTCTCTCCCTGATGTCAGCCAGTCCTGTGTGCAGATGGCCATCACATGGCACCTGGGACGAGCTCAACCAGACGCAGTGAGTCCATGTCTTTAGTTCTTGAGCCAGAAGCACCCTGCAGTGACTGTACAAAGGTTTCAGAACCTCAATTAAAGACTATATGTAATATGTGGCCTTCACCACTCGAAAAGAAATACAATGGAAATACACTCTTGCCTGTGCCAGATTCCTGGCGTGATGTCATCAGCCTTTGGTAGTTGGCTCAGGTGTTTGTTTGTTTGATTGTTTTTTAATCCTTTACATAGCCCAAGTGTGGGGAAAAAACAAACATTGTATTATATGACAGTGATTATCCCTTAAGCGCACTTGGAAATATGACGGTGGGTGATGGACTTTAAAGACTACCTGAAGCATTTTGAACCCTCTGGAGATGAATGACAGAGGAAGAATTCATCCCTTTATAAAGTGCATTACAGTAGTTCAGCTGAGGGGGCATGAAGACGGGGATTATGGCCTCCATCCATCCATTATCTTTTACCAGCTTCTTCCATTTTGGGTCACGAGGGTCGCCAGTGCCCATGTCCAGCAATCAATGTGCAAGGGGTGGGGGACACCCTGGACAGGTTGCAAGTCCATCACAGGGCCATATAGAGACAAATGAGACAAACAACCATTCACTCTCTCACTCACACCTAGGTACAATTTAGAGTTACCAATCAGTCTAATATGAATGTTTTTGGTCTGTGGGAAGAAACCGGAGTACCCGGAGTAAACCCACACATGCACGGACAGAACATGCAAACTCCACCCAGAAAGGCCCCTGGACTGGAATTTGAACCAGGGACCTGCTCGCTGAGAGGCAGAAGCTCTACCAGTTACGCCACCGAGCTGATTATGGTCTCAAAACACAAAATTAACAAGATTGTATGACTTGGTCAGAAATCCATCCATCCATCCATTATCTTTTAACACTCTTCTTCCTTTTTGGGTCGCGGGGGTCGCCGATGCCCATGTCCAGCTATCACTGTGCGAGGGGTGGGGGACACCCTGGACAGGTCGCAAGTCCTGAGAAACACTTCCTTCTCTAAAGCCCAATAGAAATTTGGGGCTTTTATAAAAATCTAAGCAGACAAAAAATGACCAATGCCTTTGCATATAAACTGCTGAAGTGTACCGTTTGCATTCTGTTTGTTTTACTCAGATTCCTTTGGGCCAGTACACAGAAGACCACTTCACTGAGGATCAGGCCCTGGAGCTTATCGATGAGTTCAGGAAGAAGCTGAAGGAAATTGAGGAGCACATCCTGAACCAGAACGCAGGACTGGAGCTGAAGTATCTGTTCCTTCTGCCCAGCCGTGTAGAAAACAGCATCACTATTTAGAAATGCCATCTCCTGCCTCCGTATTGCATCTGTGACATGCTGAAACTGTAAAGTCATCATGTTTAAGGTTTAATGTTCTCCCTGGGGTATAATAATTCCATTTTTAACAGTAAAATTGTGCAAATGAGATTAGATGGGATTAGAAACTACTGACATATAGTCTCATATAAAAAGGTCATCAAATAGGAAAACAACTTTTGTTTCAGTATGTGCAGTTAGATCTTACATTTTATGCTTAAAGTATCTATCACATTATTTCTAACTGAAACCTTCACATTTCCACACATGATTAGTATGTAAAATCTGAAAGGTTCCTTCAGCAGGGAGTCATGGTGGCTGTTGTACTTCTGTGAATCTGTTGCCAACTCACTGTCCACAGTGACTCCATTAAAATAACACCAATTATCTGGCATTACAGTAGGTGACAGAAGTATTCATCGCCTTTGTTTTAATTCTTACAATCTGAAATTTAATTTGATTTTTATTTGATTGGAAGAAACAAACAGACACAAAATCCTCTCAATGAAAAGAGGGCACCATTAAATTCATTATTACATTACTTTAAGGAATTCCCATCATCCACCACCTTTCATGTCAGTGATTCATGCTGACATTATATCGGGGATGGATGGATACTTTATTGATCCTTTACAGGAAATTACAGGGTCACAGCAGCTATGTCACACAGAGACAACAGCATCAACAAGATTGTTTAAACCAGGGATGAAAATATTGATTTTTACCCACAAAACTTTTTTAAATTATGAGGAGACTACACGATTGTCATATTTAAAACCAGTGATGACTCAGTGCAGTTTTGTTAAATGTTGTAGGGATTTCTTCCAGTTTTGCTGTTTACGGTTCAACATGCAATGACAGCACAAATGTTTGAGGGTGTTGGTTATACTCATCTTATTCAAGAGGTTCTGAAAGTGTAATGGACCACAAAGTGAATAAAAACCAGTGAGAAGAGAACCCAGTTTAGATCAATGGACTTTTGTTGTATCCATCCACCCATCCATCCATTATCTTTACCTGCTTCTTCCTTTCTGGGCCACGGGGATCACTTGTGCCCATATCCAGCAGTCACTGTGCGAGAGAGGTGGGGGACACCCTAGACAGGTCTCCAGTACATCACAGGAACACTATGCCCCTTTTCCATTAGTACCGGTACGGGCCGACTGTACCCTACTTGGCCTGGTTCTGAGGCTTTTCCATTAGTACCGGTACTTAGCACCTGTTACTATTTTCAGTACCCTTGGCTCTGGGGTTCTAACCAGGACGAGTAGGTACTAAAACGTGTCGTCAGAACACTGTCGGTCACTGATTGGTCGGGGGCGGAGTCGGGGGCGGAGTCACTGGATCCTTCAGAAACTTTTCAAAACAATAATCCGCCATTTGCAATTTCTCGGACTGGAGCAGCGGCTGGACTTATTTTAAAGATTTTAAAAACAATACTGACAACATCTTGGTCTACTGCTGATGTGCTGGCATTTTTTGTGCTTGGTGGCCGACAACATAATTCAGAGCAAGCTGGATGGAGATCTGCTGGTGTACCCCGGTCCTCCCCCCGGAGCCTCAGAGCGCCAGGCCGGGCAGGGCGTCATCTTCCCGGCTCCAAGTTCAGCTGGTCACCACGGAAGATCCTTCAATGTGCCGACTCGGAGGCTCGGGTTCCAGATACCAGCCTTGTGTGCTCAGAGCTCCGCAGGTCACTGCGAAGCTGGATATGGGGACTCGCAGAAGGCCGTTGTGAGACCCTGGCCGCGCGTAATCATGAAGGCTGAATCCCGATCCCCCCCGGCAGCGGACTGGACAGTCTGGGACGGATGGTGGAAGCGATTTTTAAATAAAATAATATTTTGTTTTTATACAAAAAATGTTTTAAAAAATTGCTGAAGCGATTTAAAAATTATTATTATTATTTTTTTTTACACGGAAAATGTTTTTTAAAATTGCTTCCACCGTTCGTCACAGACCCGTCTCTGTCCGCCTGTCTGCGCGGGTCGGACCTTCATGATTACGCACGGCTGGGGTCTTGAGTTACCAGCTGAGCTGGAGCTGGGAAGATGAGCCTGCCCGTCCTGTCTCCGGAGGAGAGGATCGTGTAAAAAAAT